AGAGTCATCGGCGGGAGCTCTTTCCTGAGCATCCCGGTCGTGTCCTCCCCTGGGCGCGGACAGGGGCAGGCCGACCCTCGGCAGGGAACAGAGAGGCCCGGTCCGCGGTGGGTGGGTGCGCGGCCTCGAAAGTCCCTGCGTGGGTTGGGATCGGACAAACCCGGCGCCCTGGCCTTTGTGCGCCGGCCTCGCTCTGGACGCCGCGGCGCCCGGGTTTCAGCATTCGGGTGCTCAAGCGGGTGGTCCAGGGTGGTGGTCGTCGGGTCCGACGGGGGCGAGTGTGAGCTGGGGCTGTACCGGCACCGAGCAGTCTGGGCTAAGTCCAGGTGATCGCCACCCACGAGGTGGCCGTGGTCAGCGCCGGGGTGGCCGGGGTTTGGCCAGGGACGTCGAGCGGATTGCGCAGTTCGCGAGAAGGCGTTGGACCGGGGTCCACTTCCCGCGTATGGGCTTATTCCGGAGTCGGACGGAATCAGCCTGCGAGGAGCCCAGTTTGATTGTTTTAAGGTGAAAACTGTCAGAAGCATTAAGAGACCGCCAACGCACACACACCAGTTCAACGGTTTCTGCCGCCACCTCGGTTTTAAGCGTAATAATATTTAACACGCATCCTGCCTTCAGTGCTCTGCCTGAGTGGGGTGTGTTTGTTTGATTAAAGTACTGCCCCGCGGAGCCGCACCTTCAGGGGGAGCGGGTCGCCTTGCAGTTCTGGCCGTGTGTTCCAAACGCTGGAGAGGCGCGTTCTAGCGCTTTGTAGCCCCTCCTGGGGCAGGTGGTTTGAAGGCTGAGATGACAGCTGATCCTCGCTCCTTTTCATTGTTTGTGGTAGATCCGGGTCTTTCTTCGGAACAGTGAGTGGCAAGTTAGTATTGTTGACATAGAGGTTTCGCATTACATGGTCATTTATTACAGCCTTGGAAATGCATCCTTTTTTTTTTTTTTTTTTTTTTTTACCTTGGAAAGTCCTCCTTTTTTTTTTTTTTTTTTTTTTTTTGAGAGGTTTTTGCTATAGAGCTTGTGTGCTCTCCAGAAGGACAGAGAGAGACAGAAAGTCAGAAAGCGAGAAATCACCCCCAGGGGGGATGGCCATGCCACAATCCCTTCTCCATTTTCCTTTCAGGATCTTGGGCACACACGCATACGTGCCCGGTGTGAGTTTAAGCCACCGAGTCCAGGACTTGAACCATGGTCGACCACCTGGGAGTCCAGTGACATAGCCATTACACCAACTGCTGGTCCCAGAAATGCATACTTTTTTTTTTTTTAGAGGTTTTTGCTGTAGGGTGCGTGCACTCGCCAGACAGAGAGACAGAGAGACAGAAAGCGAGAAATCACCCCTCGGGGGATGGCCATGCAGCAATCCCTTCTTCTCCATTCTCCTCTCGGGATCTTGGGCACACATGCACAAGTCCCCGGCCTGAGTTAAAGCCACCAGGTCCGGGACGTGAACTGCGGTCGACTACATGGGAGTCCAGCAACATAGCCATTACGCTAACTGCTGGTTCCCAGAAATGCATATTTTTGAGCGAGGTTACAGATTTTGGTGTGACTTGCTTAGGAAAGAACAGTATTTGGCCATGGCTTGTTATTATACGACTGCCCCTCACACCAAATGATGAAAAGGAAGTTAAACTTTAATGTATGGTGCATGTTTTGAGACTTCAGGGAGAGCCTGGACAGTGCCAGAAAATTCAGTTGTTTTTTTTTTTCTCTTCTGTGGTTGGCTTTGTGCGCAGTGTACAAACCAGCTCCTGCCCCAGCCCTGTTCCCGGTCTCCTTGGGGTGGGTTATGGTGTGGAAGGCTACAGCGTTGGCCCCGGGAAGCATTTGTTCTCCCCCTGTGGCTTCAGAGTTCCACCCCTGTGTCCTTCCTGTCCTGGCCTGTAGCAGTAACAGAATGCTGGCCCCTTCATGTCACAGAACGGACCTCTGAAAAGGAGGGCTTGGCCACAAGTGTGATGAGGCGTGTCCTGGCCTCGCTCCCTGTGGCGGTGGTGGTCTGTCCAAGAGCGCTCCATTTAGTAGGTCCCTTTCAGGTGAGAACATCATACCTGTGAAACCAGAAGTCGGAATTGGTGATGGATGGTGTTAGATTTGGAGACCCACCTGAATGTCTCAACAGAGCAGGGAGAAGAGAGAGAAAGGGGAAGAGGAGGCAGGAGGAGTTGCGTGTGCCACGGAGGCCAGTAGCAGCCCCTGCAGGGATCATGTCAGTTCAGGTTACAGGGCCACAGATGCCCGCTCTGGGATACGCAAGACCCTTCTTGGTAGGAGGTTGCACATTTCAAGATCTGGTGTGTTTATCTTTTCGAAACCTAGATGAAGATCCAGTTTCGGACATGAGACTCATTGGGCGATCGCTTCTTTGAGATCGACTTTAATGACCAGGAGTAAGGTGCAAGAGGACCGCGCTATGACTGAGGTATGCCGGACACGGATGTCGGGAGGCGGGAGGATCCGATGGTTACTGCGCAGTGTACTAGGTACATGTACTTCCTTTCGACCTCCTGTTAATTCTGTCAGATATTTTAAACTCAGCAAGCAGACTGAAGCTCAGAGAAGCCAAGGCACCACGTAGGACGCCCCGGAATGCAGTCACAGTCACCTCCGCTGCTCTGCCGTGTGCCGGCACCATCTGTGCTGCTGCCGCTGACCTCCCAGTCTTCACCGGAGTCCTGTCAGCAGAGGCTTCTACTCATTTCGTGAGAAGGAAGTTACAGCAGACAGAGATTAGTATTCCCCTGGCCTGTGGCAGAATCCACAGCCCAAATGCAGGCACTTTGACCACAGAGCTATACCAGCATTCTTTTGGTTGGTATTTCCTTTATTTATTTATTTATTTATTTTAGAGGTTTTCGCTATAGGGCGCATGCGCTCGCCAGAAAGACAGAGACAGAGAGACAGAGAGCGAGAAATCACCCCCCTGGGGGGATGGCCACGCTGCAATCCCTTCTCCTTCATTCTCCTCTGGGATCTTGGGCACGCACGCACACACATCTGGTGTGAGTTTAAGCCACCGGGTCCAGGACTTGAACCATGGTTGACTACATGGGAGTTCGGCAACATAGCCATTACAGCATCTACTGGCCCCAAGATTTCCTTCACTGATATTTGAAACAAATAAATGTTGTTTTTTTTTTTTAGAATTATTTTAAAAATTTATTCATTTATTTACATTTGACTAGAGAGAGACAGAGAGACAGAGAGAAGGAACGTGAGAAAGCAAGCCACCAGGTCCGGGACTTGAACCGTGGTCAGCCACATGGGAGTGTCCAGAGAACCTTAGCCACCACGCCACCTGCTGGCCCCCAAATAAATGTTTTATTGAAAGACAAAACAGAAACACGGGCACTGTAGCTTAATGAGTTATAAGGCATAACCTCCGAGGCGTGCAGAGGCCCTCCACTGTCTTAACCCAGCTCCAACCCCTGTGCTCTCATTATTTGCTATGCTTCTGACTTTACCAATCACTTCCCTGTGTTTAGCACAAGTTTTCAGTCTTAACGTTTTGATACCAGTCTTACTCATTTAAATTTTTTTCATTAAAATTTTTAAAATTAAAAAAATATTTATCAGTGTTTTTCTTTCTTTTTTTTTTTTTTTTTTTGGTGTTTTTGTCTTAGGGTGTGTGGGCTTGAGAGAGAGAGAGAGAGAGAGAAAGTGAGAAATCACACCCCAGGGGGGATGGCCAGGTCATGCCGCAATCCCTTCTCCTCCATTCTCCTCTTGGGATCTTGGGCACGCATGCACAGCTGCCCGGCATGAGTTTTAAGCCACAGGGTCCGGGACGTGAACCACGTCGACTACGTGGGAGTCCAGAGACATAGCTGTTACGCTAACTGCTGGTTCCCCAATCTTTTTTGTTTTTGAGAGATTTTTGCTATAGGGTACATGTACCTACTGGTGAGAAAGAGAGGCAGAAAGCAAGAAATCACCCTCCGGGGGCATGGCCACATCGCAGTCCCTTCTCTCCCCTTGGAATTTCAGCATGCTCGTAGGCATGCACGCACACACGCCCGGTGTATCAAGCCGCTGCCAGGTCTGAATTACTAGTCCCTTTAACTCTTTTTGTCTTTTTCTTTTTCTTTTTTTTTAATTGCCCTGGTGTTCATTTCTGCCACCAGGTCTTAGACTCCCAACTATGTGGGAGTCCAACAGTGTAACCATTACACCATCTGCTGGTCCCCCAAGCTTTTATCTTTAATGCTCGTTTTCACGGTTCTTTTTTACAAATTAGAAAATGCCTCCAGGAAAAATAGGGGCTATCATCCTCTCAGTTTTTTTTTGAAGGAGGGATCCTGGTAATTTGTCATTATCTTGTTTGTTCTTTAATGATTATAAGAAAAAAATTTAAAAACATACTCAGCTTTTCTCATCATTTTTAGAGGCAGAGTTGCTTAGTCTGCCATTACCAACTTAATACCTCATGAAATTTAGTGTGATCTGAGACACATTTATATAAAAGAAGAAGCGTGTCAGGGGCCAGCATGTGGCATGGTTACAGTACTGACTTGCACATGGCTGACCACAGTTCTAGTACTGGACCCAGTAGCTTGAAAATTATGCCAGGCGCGGGAGCATGGGTACCCCAAATCCCAGGAGAATGGGGGAGAAGGGATTCCAGTGTGGCCATCCCCCCAGGAAGTAATTTCTCACTTTCTTGCTCTTCCTCAGGTGGGCGCATGTGCCCTATGGCAAAATCCTTAAATAACCTTAAATCTGATCATTAACAAACACGTGGAGAAAAAGTCTAAGATGATGTCAGATAAAGGTCTAAGTAAGAGCTTTACTGTCCAGTTCACGTATATAATCCCAGCTGCTGTTCATCTGCAACTTCCTGTGTGCCTGGTGTTTGTCCTTAGGAAGTTTTACTTGCTGTCTGTCTTAATTGAATCTGTAACATTTAAGTATTTTTCTCTTTCTTAAAATGGAAGAAAGCAAAGCTCAAAGGTTGAGTGAGTTCGTCCATGTCATACAGTGCAGCCGTTAGAGCAATTGTCAAAGCGTGCGGCTTCACATGCCTGTGAGGCGCACACGCTTACCTTGAACTCTGCCACCTCTACTGCTGCTTCCCAGAGTCTGTTCTTCCTATTAGAAAACTGGCTTGCTCCCGAAGGTGGTGAGGTTGGAGGACAGCACAGCCTCATCTCCAAAGTATTCTTGCCAGAAAATACTGAACCTGTGTCTGCGCACGTGCTGTGTGGAGGTGTGTGTGATACCCCAGCACATTTATAGGGGAGAACATTACAACACAGGCTTTATTCAAATGAGTCTTATAATCAGCTATCTAGGAAACTGTAAAAATTTTGACACAGGAATAGCCTAAGTTTCCCTGTAAGAGTAGTCGGTCCTTTTAAATATATTTGCCTTTAACTCATTGTATTTTTTTCACTTTTCTATTTAGGCAACTCAAATTTTTTTATTGCCAACGTCTACTTCCTCTGATTCTACAAAACAAACTATGTCTCCAGCAGCCCCTAAGCCAGAGGAGTCCAGTCAATTGTTAAACAGACTCATGTCTGAAAAACAGGTAACCTTGACATTTTTCTGAAGTTTTATCTATTTCATCTATGAATGTGCATTTGCGTGAGAGAGTGAGTACTTGCACCCCCAGAGCTTCCTGCTGTCGATCTCCAGCCAGTTCCAGACCAAAGGCACACGCATGCCTGGCGTGCCCAGGAAGGTCTCTGGATGGGAGCCCAGACCGTTTCCAAACAGGTCTGCCCTGTACTACCTGGCCCTAAACTTGAAATATTTTAAGTTAGCATTTCTCAAAGTATATGATAAAGATGCTTCCTCTACAGCTGTACAAAATATGACTAAAACGATTCTCCAGTTGAATGATTTTGGGGAATGCTGGGGTAATGATTATTGCACGGGGCCTGGTTGCAGTGGTACAGGGAGGAGAGTACTACCGCATGATGGCTGAGGCCACACGGGAGGTCCAGGTTCCATTCCTAGCCCAGAGAAAGGGAGAGAGAGAGGAAGAGTGGGAGAATGAGAAAGAAAGCCACCAGGTCCAGGACTCGAACTGGAGTCAACCATGTAGGAATCTAGCACTTTAACCACCACACCACCTGCCAGCCCTGTTTCTATTTTTTTTTTTTTAAGAATTATTTTATTTAACTTTATTTACCCATTTATTTATGTGTTTCAATTTGACCAAAGAAGGACACAGCTAGAAAGAGAGAGTGAGAGAGAGAGAGAAAGCGAGAAATCAAGCTGCCTGGTCTGCGACCCGAACCACAGTAGGCCATGTGGGAGTCCAGTGCTCTTAGCCACCACGCCACCTGCTGGCCACCCTCTGTATATTCTTATTTCTTTCTGTTTTTCCATTTTGTTGCCTTGATCTGGAGAGTTAGGGCTCTCTTAGGCATAGGTCCTAAGTGCATATTTAGAATCAGGGGTGACTGCTAAATTAGTTACCAGATGAATCGGCTCTTTTTTATTGTTAGGTGTCATCTGTT